GGGAGCAAATGACAGGAAAATATCTTCTAACAGAGCAAGAAGGCAAGCAGCTGTAACCCAAGACCACCAGTAAGGTGATAAAGCGTCCTCCCTTCCCCCCTTTACATCTACGCCCCTGTTCAGCATGAAGAAGCCAGAGAGTCGACATCCAATTCCCAAATCAATAAGACAGTTGGTTTAGTTACTCTTGGAAAATGCTTGTCATTCCTCTGTAGCATCTGGTCCCCACTGGACCCTCATCATTTCCTTTACCTGCTCCCCCCACCGACCAAAGTGTGCAGCTCTGCAACTGCATCCCAGCCCATCCTCACCCTTCTACCCCCAACCCTCACCTCCTTGTACCCCCAATATGTTTTTCCCAATTAAAAAATATTTTAAAAAAAGAATATGTATGAATGGACAATTAGTAAGAACAGGTACAGACTAACCCCTGTGGGTCTAGTAGATTCTGACTTGTGGTAACCTTTCATCAGGTTTCCGAGGATGCTAATCTTAACAGTTGTTGTTATGTATGGTTGAGTAGAAACTGACTCATTGCTGACCTCCAGTAGGTTTTCAGAAGCTGTAAATTGTACGGAAGTAGACTGCCCATCTTTCTGTCTCGGAGCAGCTGGTGGATTTGAACCACGGTGCTTTAGGTTAGCAGAGCAACTTCTTACCACTAAGCCACCAGAGCTCCCTTAACAGAAGTAAGGCTGTCCACCTTTCTTCTGTAGAGCTGCTGCTGGTGGATTCAAACTGGTACAGATGCAAAATCCTTTGGTTGGGTGTGAGAAACATTATAGGATTATGCTACCAGATCTCCTTAAGTATTAATTAGAGATGGGTATATATACATAACAAGGATATGGTTATGTACCTAATATATATGTGGATTTACATTATTGGTGATTGTGTACCGTCACGTTAAAGTGTACCACCAAGTTGAGTGTGACTCATAGTTACTCTATGAACAACAGATCTGAATTCTGTCCTATCCTGTGCCATCCTCATCACCTCTGATACAGATACACTTAATCCCATTGCTGCAGTCACCGTGTCAATCCTCTCAGTAGGTGTCTTCCCTCTTTTGCTGATCCTCTACCCTTCCAAGGATGATATAATTTTCCAAGAAATAGCCTTTCCTAGCAACATGTCCCAAGTCTGAGAGATGAAGCTTTGCATCATTGCCTCCAAGGAGCACTCTGGATGCACCTTTTCCAAGACATACCTGTTGATTCATTTGGAAGGCCAGTACTCTTCTCTAACATCACAACTCAAGGGCATCAACTCTTTAGGTATCATCAAAGTAAAAAAGTCAGCCTTTGCCATGAACCCAGAACTAATTTTACTTTGGCCTAGTTGGTAGGAAGTTGCATTGCCAACCCACAGACAGGTGAGGAGATTATATATATCAGTTCCAACTCCACAGCAATTAAGTTTTGTAGACATGCTGATGTGTATAAAAGTGTATTTCCCTGTGGTTTTAAGTTCTGATATCCATGACAACTAGGGAAACTGAAAAATTTAAAATATGCTTATAGAGGATTTTAAAATAATGCTCTGTGAATCTATTGAAGTCTTTTGCCCATTTTGCAATAGAATTGTTTTTGTTTTTAACTGTTGATTTGTGAGAATGTTTCACAAATTTTGATACGTATTTTTGGTACTGTTTTTTTCTCTTGAAGATTTTTATTCTAGATCTATAGCTTATTTCTTCCTTTTCTTAAAGGTGTTTTCATGAGCAGAAAATTTAAAGCTTGGTAAAATAAATTTATCTTTCCCCCCCTCTTTTTGTATCTTGTCCAGAAAAGCTTAGCCTATCACAGGTCTCAAAGATAGTTGTCTATATTTTATTTAAAACTTTATGG